CTCCTCCTCTCCTCCTCTTCCTCTTCCTTCTCCTCCTCTTCTTCCTTTTCCTCCTCCTTCCTTCCTCCTTCCTTCCTCTTCCTCCTCTTCCTTCTCCTCCTCTTCCTCTTTCTTCTCATCCTCTTCTTCCTTCTCCTCCTCCTCCTTCCTTCCTCCTCTTCCTCTTTCTCCTCTTCCTTCTCCTCCTCTTCCTCTTCCTTCTACTCTTCTTCCTTCTCCTCCTCTCCTTCCTTCTCCTCCTCCTTCTTCCTTCCTCCTCCTCCGAGCACTGATGATATACCCTAGTTGGGTCATGAAACCTGTGCTAGAAAATCACCCAGCTCAGAAAGCACCACAGCTCAACCCTCGAGCTGCGAATCTGCTCTTCTATTGGCTCTTCTCTTCTTCCCTCCTCCCCAGGAACAAGACAATCTGAACGACGCGGAGGAACGTTGCGACCAGCTGATCAAGAACAAGATCCAGTTGGAAGCCAAGGTGAAAGAGATGACCGAAAGGATAGAAGACGAAGAGGAGATGAACGCCGAACTGACTGCCAAGAAGCGGAAGCTGGAAGATGAATGTTCGGAACTCAAGAAAGATATTGATGACTTGGAGTTGACTTTGGCCAAGGTGGAGAAGGAGAAGCATGCCACGGAGAACAAGGTACATTGAAAGCACAGGTAGTCCTCGACTTATGACCACAGTTGTGTTGCGGCCCGCCGGTGGCTAGCAGAGCCGGCAGCAGAGCCAGACAGTAGGGGGGAGGTGGGGGGGGGGGGGGGGGAGAACCTGGGCCAGTCCTGGAGGCTGAGGAAGGCTTGGTGGGCATGGCAAGGGAAGGTTATTGCAAAATCCCCATTCTCTCTCCACCCCTCTAACCTGCTTTCCAGTTCCGTTCTCCTGTGCAGGGCGACCAAAGAAGACCCAGCCAATCAGCTGGGATTGGGGAGGCGGAGAATAGATGGGGGCGGGGTCAGTCGGAGGTGGGATTTGCTGGCTCTCCAAACTCAAAATTTTACGCTACCGGCTCTCCAGAACCGGTCAGAACCTGCTGAATATACCACCTCCGGTACAGTACCTTCAGACTGGTTCTCTTTTCAGGTGAAAAACCTGACCGAAGAAATGGCCGGTCTGGATGAGATCATCGCCAAACTGACCAAGGAGAAGAAATCCCTCCAGGAGGCCCACCAACAAGCGTTGGACGACTTCCAGGTTGAAGAAGACAAAGTCAACAGCCTGAGCAAAGCCAAGATGAAGCTGGAACAACAAGTGGACGATGTGAGTGGGGCGAGGCAGGAGGTGTCTGTCCAGCCACCCGGGTTCTTGGTCCACCTGGATGGAGGTTTAACCAACCAACGGGGGCAGCTTTGTGGGAAGATTAGGACCCTTGCACTCCTTGGCTGGGGTGGGATGTCCATCCGTCCTTAATTGCCCTCGGCAACATCTAGAGAACATCTTCTGGAGGTTTGGGATAGGCCTGGCGTCTTCGTTTTATGCGCCAGTGAGTTAGAGAGGGGAAGTAAAAGCTACGGGATGTTTCGATATCGGCTCGTGCTGGTTGATGATGCATTGCTAGGGATATTAAATCTGGAGTATGCAGAAAGAGTCAGAGGGTGAAGGTGGCATGGTTTGTGGAGTGGCCCACCGTCCATGATTATACTTAGAGGGCAATTTGATGGCATTCGGTTTTGTATTCAAAATCTTCTTCTCTTTTCACCTCTCCTCTTCTTTTCTCTTCTCTTTTTCCTTCCTTCCTCTCTTTCCCTTCTCTACTTCTTTTCTTCCTTCCTTCTCTTTCTTTTCGTTCTTCTCTTTCCCTTCTTTATTTCTTTCCTTTCCTTCCTTCCTCTCTCTTTTTTCCTTCTTTTCCTCCTTCCTTCCTTCTCTTGTTTCTTCCTTCCCTTCTTTGCTCCTTCCTTTCCTCGTCCCTCCCTCTTTCTTTCCTTCCTTCCTTCTCTCCCTCCCTCCTTTCTTACTTCCCTCCTTTCCCCTCCCTCCCTCCCTCTTTCTTTCTCTTTCTTTCTTTCTTTCTTTCTTCCTTCCTTCCCTTCTTTCCCGTCCTTCCTTCCCTCCCTCCCTACTTTCTTCCTTCTTCCTCTTCCTTCCCTCCTTTCCCCTCTCTCCTTCTTTCTTTCTTTCTTTCTTCCTTTCTTCCCTTCTTCCCCTTCCTTCCTTCCCTCCCTTCTTTCTTCCTTCTTCCTTTCTTCCTTCCCTCCTTTCCCCTCCTTCCCTCCCTCTTTCTTTCTTTCTTTCTTTCTTTCTTTCTTTCT